TGATACAATATGTACCTGACTTTAATACACTATGTACCTCACTATGAAACACTTTGTATACGTATTTCAGTGTGATATATATATATGTACTATGATACACGTACGATATATATATAGTAGATAATAAATAAATAAGTATATATATATCACTGTACTACATACCTCACGCCAGTAAACTTTAAACGGTACCCCACTTTGATGTACATTTTACACACACGTACGTCTTACTTAATCTAAAAAAATATCAAATATGTAACTCTTTAGAAACCAGGTTAGTGTGATTGGCATCGTTTACGATTACGGGTCATGCGTCCAGGCACGTGCACCTGTTTACTTTGTTGACTATGCGTGCATGTACATCGTAGTAAAATTGTGGTTATATGCATATGTACTGGGAAATGGGCATATCGATCGAAAGCCGTACAACTTGTTGAATTTGGCACGAGATAGTATATATTTATAACCATTATGAATGCTTGGTTTTATTTCAATTTTTGAACTGTAGTGTATTTAAATAAATATTTAATTAACGGCTACTGGCTTTATCTGTCTCTGGTCTAGCTTACGCTAAATACATATTTATAAAATATCTTAATTAAAGAACTAAAATATTTCATAGAATGGGCATGATAAATTTCCTTTTGTCAAAAAGGACATATCAAACAGATTTTTGTGTGGTAGAATCGCCCAAAATGTATTAATAATTACATTTATTCAGCTAGAATGCGAGCACACTACTAACACGTGAGCATATATATATATGTTATGTGACGTCACAGTATGTCAGCGACAGACACGTGAGATAAAGCATGACTTTTGCTGTTGACAGTTACAATAACATTTTACCTGCTGGAAGCGGACGTGTTTTCATTCTAGGCTTCAATTAATATTTATTGCTATAACTATATTTTAAAGCATGGACATCGATTTTGAAGACGAACTACTATGCAAAAGAATCAAGTTGGACACAGCCGATCGGTGAGTGTTTTGTTTTGAGGTTTGTGGCGAAGTAACGTTAGTTGAAAACGTGACCGTCTCGTCTGCTAAAAGCGTGCGATATCTGTCTGATCTTTGTTCTTTTCTTTTAATTTGCAAAATACTGACAAGTAGTTATTAAATATTTAATGAAAATGTATCATGTTTGATGCTATTTTGCAAAATAGAACGAAAAGTAGGTCACATGTTTTGCGGCACGTGGACGGGCACCTGTTCAAGATTACGGTTTAAAAATCTATTTTTAGAAATAAAGCTCATGAATAATAATTAAGGTTAGCCTATATATCTAAAACGCATTTAGTAATCTTAAAGAGTTATTGTAATTCGGTTTCAAATGGGAGGAAAGTACTGCTGTAACAATAGAAGAGGCCGATGGTCGGTTATAGTTTAGTATCTCGCCGTGCTGAACCTCTAACCAAGAACGTATCGTCTAGTCATCAGTTTCCGCGCGTTATGTATTTCCGCGCAGACATTTTATCAAGCTATATCGCGTAACTACGTATACGTGACCTGCTGGACACAACACAAGGATATTTTAGACGTTTGGCCATATTCTGTAAACTGACACAAAAATTACCGGAATTTAACAGATTCTATATTATAACTAAATAAATATAATAAATACATTTTTGAATTAAATGAATTCGTTCAATTTGACATCTTGAAAAATCAATTAAAAATATGAGATTTAAAAAAAAATGTTTTGATAATTAATTTGACGATGAAAGATTTTTTTTTTTTTTTTATTCCAAACGAAGCTTTTGTTCTTGCAGGTCACTGTAGAGAATTTCTTTATAGTGTATTCAAGTTATCTTTCTTTGAACACTAAATCAAAAATAGACACAAGGAAACATATGTGTTAAAAATTGTTTGTTCTGATTTTTTTTAAATTTGTTTGTATTGCTTTTTTAAAAATACAGTTTTATGTTGCTAGTTTTTTTGTTTCCATTTAGATTGTATACATATTTATGACAGTCATCCGTAATTTCAACAGATTTCTGCCGATATGAGTACGAAATCGCGGATGCTTCTTAAGTGCGCGGAATCCGGTAACCCGAGGATATACTTAGCACCACGTGCACGGGTAACCTACATATGCATGCACTTGCTGCAGTGTTATTTACTCCACTGTGCATGATGTTTGGCATGTTAAGAAGTTGATATAAACATGATATTATATATAATATTTATTTAAATACCATTTTTGATTCAGTTCCAAAAAGCAAATTATCTCTCCGAGTTTCAAGTTTTATTTTTTACAGTCATGACACACGAGGTGTGTTACTAGAGGTCAACATTTTAATACATTTCAATTACATAGCAAATTGAAGTGACTACAGATTGTTTTTACAACTGTAAATATATGAAATAAAAATAAAATGAAAGAAGCTTTTGCAAACAGTCTGTGAACCATGACACTGCTGCAGCACGCCAGTGAACCATGACACTGCTGCAGCACGCCCGAGTGACTGATGTGTATACCACAGACTTAGATATCTAATCTAATTCTGCGGTGTATACATAGGTAGTTACCACTAATAAAGCCTGTATGGTTAGCTTCACTAATTATTTACGAACAAAGGGCTACATATATATATATATATATTGTATTTTAATAAAGATTTATCACTTGTGGGTATTTCTTATACATGTCATTCTTTATATTTGACAATACTTCCTCACATCATGTATCTCAACCTTCTATTTAAATACATACAGACACCCAAAGACACAATCAAAACATTACCTATTTCTAAGAAACACTTTGTACTTAAAGGCCAAGGGTGGGGTATAAAAGGGAGACAACTCGGGAAAATGGAGGAAATGCAAAAATCTGACTGCCTTCACTTCAGAGAAAGAATTTCTTCAAATTCATATCATATTTCAAGTAACTCAACAATAGCACTTCATCTAAAACATTTCCTTAAAGCGGGGGATATGAATTCCACAAATAGCTTGTTATCTTTGATAAATATCTTGATCTGCTTGTAAACAGTTCAATTTCTAAAATTAAGAATAATTTTTGATTATGTGAACATTGAATATATTTTCCTTTTTTTTCAGCCATCTGAATTTCTCCATTTCCCCAGATGAATGTGAAATGCTTTCAGTCAAGAAACCAAAGATACCAAGGGTAAGATTATCTCAAAGGTAGAGAAATACTATCTGATACCAAGGGTAAGATTATCTCAAATGTAGAGAAATACTAGTTTAGTTTCAACAAATTTTATTGTGTTAACAAAAGGATTAGACGACAGGCAGTGCCTATATAAGTTTTTTCCTGAACCGGTACAACATATTTACATTTACACAGAATAATAAGGTATATTTACAAAATTATCGATAAGTAATTAAGATGAGATTATTGAAATTGTTGGACAATTATATGGAAAATATGTATATTTGAATTAATAATATTGCCGAATGTTGAACTACACACACTAATAACTGAAGGCTCACTTTTTCTACCAGTGGCGTAGATATCTAGGTCACTTTCCATGTTATAGTACATGTACTGCGCCACTGGCAACATACATACTTCTATACCCACACGCACACACACACTCAGAGCAGATTGATATAACGGGAAGTATTAAATAAAAATATATGCTAGTCATATTCGAGTTAAATGAATCTATTAGTTAAATTAATAAATTTTTCAACTTTAGATAATATATAAGAGAAATACTATCTGACATACATTTCTTTATTATTGGTTTTCCATATTTAAAACTTATTGATATTTTTTAGCTGATATAAGAATCAAATGAGCATATAACTTTTCAATGCATTATTTCATGCATTTTATAATTTAGTAGTATAGCAATTCCTCTATTAAATAACCTTGTAGTCGTTTTGACTTATTTTAAGCAATTTTATTTTGTAAGAAAAGGAGAAAGAATATTGTCTAATAAAGGGAGACATATGTTTTGTTAAAAACAAATCTCTAGTTTAGAAGTGTCATAGTAGTACCTTCTAGGTGACGTTTCATCTTTTCTCCATTTCATTAATATAAGTCTTAGTCGTAAGTTCCATGTGATTGTTAAGGCCCATTGGGCCTATTGTTTTATAACTGTTTTCTTTTTAAATAAACAATTCATATCACTATTATCATTTTTGATCATATGCTTTTTGTAGCTAATAGTGTATAAGGTCAGGCAGACTTGTTAAGCATGTTATTAATTAACTGAAAATAGTAATACAATTTGTAATCACAAAATGTAATTTAAAAAGAACTTTTTTACCTATTTCTTCATTGAGTTAAAGCATTTCCTATTGAACTTTTCAGTCATAATCATGACTGTGTCTTATATATATATCATATTCTTTATTTTAGGACCCAATGTCTCACAGAATTATTGAAAAGAGGAGGCGGGACAGAATGAACAACTGTCTTTCAGACCTCAGCCAGCTCATACCCTCAAATTATTTAAAACAGGTAAAATATTTACAGTACTCGGCAGTTTCTAGTAGAGCTCAACTTAACCCTCTCATAAAGACCAAACTATCTAAAGCTTATGAAGTTAATTACATGAATTTTTAATTGGTAGACAGACATCTTGTGAATTTGAATTTAAGACAACAGCTCTTCTGAATCACGTATATCTATGGTTATCTGTAGACCTGATTAATTCATGAATTAAATTACAGGGGTCTAATTAAGATAGGGTCTGAATGCCTGTCCATTGACAAACTTCAAAGGGATTTTATCTTGTCAGTGGTTTACCCCTTCTCAATAGTTAGGTGTTCTAGAACACTTCTTCAGCTAAAAGTGTCTTGATATTGATACACATATTGGATAATTAGGAAAAGATTTGGTGATATATGAATTTGATTTTGCAGGGCCAGGGTCGTATTGAGAAGACAGAGATTATTGAAATGGCCACGCGGCACATCACACATCTCCAGAATCTCAACAAACTGTTTGGTACGTAACCACATCTCTTTCTATCTATTAATGTTTTTATATAAAGGTGCCAGCGATGCAGTGAGATTGGAGGGAGGGGGGTCCTTAATGGGTTTGGTTTGTTTATGTTTTACGTCCTTTCAACAGCTATGGTCATTTAAGGACGTGCCAGGTTTTGGTGGTGGAGGAAAACCAGAGTTTCCAGAGAAAATCCACTGACCTACGGCCAGTACCTGGCGACTGCCTCACGTAGGCCTCGAAACCGCGACCCAGTGGTGGAGGGCTAGTGATAGCAGAATACACAGATACACAGATTTATTCTGACTGTAGGAAATTGTACAATGTCGGATGCCTTAACCACTTGGCCACCTTGGCCTTAATGGGAAAAGGAATAAATCTTAAAAAGCCTACATGTACTTATTCAGTACAAGTGAGGTGATTTTTGCAAGTTTGATACATGTGTAAAGACCTAGACCTAGAAGACCCATTGAAGTAGAAAGTATAAACAAAGGGACATTGCCAAACAGTTAATAGGAGTTCATCTTACATAATAGTCTATTCCGTCTCTATGGGAAGTGATTTTCACCGAGTTTGGTCAAAAGGATCACAGGATCAAGATGTTTTAATACTGTTTACTGCATGTACAGAAAACAAAATGTATGACCTTCCTGTGGACAGGCAGGACTCACAATGGGAAGTAGGGATAGGGGGATCTCTAGATCTGGGGATGGATGGAACTTACTGTGGGAAGTAGGGGTAGGGGGACTGAATCATTGTCGAGATGATGGGTTTTAGATTTAGAATGATCCCAGGTTCAAATACTGGCCTGCTGCATTGCATTTTCCTATTCCAGTTACAGTTTAATATTATTAAGTGGGTTTTTTTGCAGGTGAGAATGAGGACAGAATCAGCAATGACAAGAAGCTGTGTTGTAAGGGCAAGTTTTATCTGGGCTTCAAGGACTGTCAGGATGAGATCATGCGATTCTGTGTGGAACAAGAAGGCTGGGATGCCAATGACCCTCTGTGCTGCAAAATCATGTCTCACCTAAACCAAACGAGTAGCAAGTTCATCAGCTCTGCATCAGGTAACTTTCTCATCTAATAAGCACATTCCTTTTCATCATTGAATTACCATCATCATTGCATTGATGCAACAAATTTTAAGAGGTGGGGGCAGTATACCAGGGATTAATGCACGAATAGAAATTTAGTACCTTTTTTCGAAATAGCGGAAATAACGGAGCCCCCCTCCATGGATGACTTCTTAAATTTTTGGTTCTCCGTCTGTTTAATATAGATGCTTCAAATCATATACTGTAAACAAGGCAAGCCATCAACAGTGTCGTAAAATATCGACAATGACATGAACACAGAGAAAATGAAATAAATCCCTTAGTTGTTGAACTGATGGAAAATAAAAACACAATAGAACCATGACAGATATCCATGTGGTAGTATCTTAAGTTACATGTGGGGGAATTTTTAACTGAAATAGGGAAAAATAATGCCAAAATTGGAGAGGAGAATTGGCCCATAATCGGTCATAAAAAGGCCTGTATAGTATATCCATGTAACACAGTAGTCGTGGTGTCTGTCCATCTGTATTTAGACACAAAATCCTCTAGACCACTTCTCTAATTGTACTGTATGAATTTCAATGAAAGGTTGTCCACTTCATCACTATGCTTTGAACATATGGCTTTTGAATCGAGGAAAACATATATGATGACAAGTAAAATTTGGGAAAGAAATACATGTAATATGATGGAAATACAAAAAATGGTTCATTATCAGCTTCAGTTGGTTAAGTGCGATATGTTTTCTCCATTCAGCATTTGCGGTACTGTAATGACTCGTCCATTCTTCCCAGTTTGTCTTTCAACAATTTCTTAACAACTTCTTCTAAATCCCTAAATAGCAATTTCTTCAAACAGCTTCTTCTGAGCTCCTTAACTCCATTTGACCTATGGTATTTGCCATTTGACCTGTTTCAGTTGTCATTTGACCTGATTCAGTTGTCATTCGACCTGTGGTATTTGTCATTTGACCTGATTAATTTGTCTTTCGACCTGTTTCAGTATATTTGATTTGTGGTATTTGCCATTTGACCTGGTGTATTTGCCATTTGACCTGGGATATTTGTTTTTTGACCTGGTGTAATAATTTTGCCATTTGACCTGTGGTATTTGCCATTTAACCTGTGGTATATGACATGACCTGATTCAGTTGTGTTGACCTGTTGTATTTATCATTTGATCTGTTTCAGTTGATATTGGACTTGTTTTATTTAGGTTTTGTTATATTATTATGTATTATTATATTTTTCTGCTGTTAAGTCTCTCTATGTTTTCATATGACTTTATTAAGTTTTGATTCCATTTGGTTTTGTTGCCATAGACGCCCTTTGTATATAATGTAGATGTAGTCTTGTATTTATTTTACAACAATTATGAATCAAATTTTTTAACTTATGTTAATCACTATTGTTAGCCCAAATGTTAGTGCGCGAGGAGGAAACAGGAGTACCCGGAGAAAACCCATGTGGTCGGGCAGGTAACCCTATACTTGATTGTTTTCATTTCCAATCGAGCAAGTGAACCCTAGCAGTCTTTGTGAAAGGCGAATGTGATATCTACTGTACCACCTGACCACCAATATATGACCTTTCATGATAAACAATAATTAAAAGCCAAAATTGATAACGAAACTTTGTTATTTGCTGCTATTTCTTTATTCTCAGGTTTGCAATATACTGAGGAGATATCAATATGCAAATTTATCAGTTTTATTGCCAAGAAACTACTTGCAAGTGATTTCTTTAAAGAAAAATAACAGTTAAATAGGATGTTCTTGATATAAAATGTTTGAACAAAATTATCCCAAGATATTCATTTTCATAATGTAATGAAGACACTGGTAGCTCAACGCTGTAGGGTAATGGAACCAAATACCTTTAAACCTTTATATAGTGACTGACTGTAAAATGGTTTAGTAGGTCAACTAAAAATAACATGACTTTTGATGAAATGCAATCTATTTTCAGTATGAATTCTTTATAATATTTATACAATGAAAGTCATGTTATTCATCAGATCTATTCAAATTGACATGTTTGATGACTTTGGCGGTTCAGTGTGTACAGACAATAAAGGTGGATGCTCGGTGATATATATGAGGTGTAATGGTATTCCTTGTGATGATAAATACTACTCGCTGGTCTTCTGTCGTTATATTGTTACCCTTGTTAACAGTCTGTTTGGAAGTTTTGTTTCCATGTGTAAGTGGTCTGCATGCGTGTTTTGTTATTGTGTGTGATGGTGACAGATAGTGAACGTGATGCGGAAAACGAGGTAATACGTTTTTTCTTAAACTAGTTTCGTTTCAGTTGAAAATGAATTCGTAATTAGTTTTGTTTCAGTTGAAAATTAATTTGTAATTAAGCTTCAACTCTAGGTAAGTTACCTGAATATTGTGTCTGTGATCATGAAACTTATCAAAATGGTCACAGATGACTCAGTGACTGAATTACCACCTGATATTGTATGTATGCATGTTAGATATCTCATTGTGTGTTGGGCATACGGAGGAGGAACATTGCCATAACTCTAAATGTGAGCATCTAAGTGTTAATTTCAAACTTGAATTTTTATTTTGGAATTGATTAATGCTTCATGGTTATCTAAATAAAAAAGTTTTTTCTAAGTTTAGTAATACTAGTTCTTCCTATTTCACATTTGTAAATTATTCTTTTTGATGATTTGTTCATTTTTTTGAAAATATATATATATGTCAAATTTTTATTAACAACTTGTTTAATCTAAATTTATTAAATTTAAATTCAATCTAATTAAAATCACTCCTCAACGATACACTCTAATAGATTGATACAAATTTCAATTAGATTCTTTGTAAATTTATCAAATTTAGATATCAGATTTTTTTTTAACAAGGTCTTGTTCCTTGACAGGCATAACGTAACATTTAAAGTGTGTCCACTTCTCTGTCTAAATTTTGTTCATGTTTGCAAACACTTCCATGATGGATACGTAAACACTTTTCAGATAAACAAATAACACAACAGGCCTGTTAGCTTCAATGGAACATTTCTGGACTTGTTTAATTGGCAGCTCAGTGTGTTGTTTAATTTAAATTTCTTTTTCGTTTTACTTAAAAAGAAGTTTTTTCAATGAAGATAATATCAAAATATGTCACTATTTCACTAAACAAAGTCATCATATTATAATAGCCAAAAAAAATAACAGAAAACATTTTATTTTATGGGAAGAGTGCACGTGCCTGTTGTGTTAGAAGATCATTATGGGGTCATGAAAGAAGAATAGAAAAAAGAAAAAAATATGGGGTCATGAAAGAAGAAAAAAAATAAAAATATTATGGGGTCATGATAGAATTGATGTAAACAGTGCATTTTAAGGTTATATACCTTTTCCCAGAGGGATAACTCCAACATCATGACCACTTTTCTTGGAAGACTACATGTGCATTATATTTTTTCAATGATTGAAATTTATTTTTAGTTTTAATCCGTTTCTTAAAGTTTCATATTTATTTCAACAATTAGATTTAAGTGTCTGCCTGCCAGATTATCAAATATACGATTTTGTAATTAAAGGAATATAAAGACAAGTCACATGATTGCCATCATTCTGAGCTGAGATTATATTTATTTTAAAAATGTTCATGAACACCTTGCTTTTCCTATGTTGTCATCCAGTTATACCCATAAATAGGTTTCATCGTATTGAGTTTGTCATAATTTTCATGAAATATGTTTTGCTGTCATTCCAGGTAAAGGATCCACATCTTGTTCTGTGGATGATGTTAATATCACTGACGAATGTAGTAACCAAAGCTTGTCACCTCCAGATACAGGGCCATATTTGATGGCTGAATCCTCTAAATATCCTGAGACTTCTGACAAGATCAAGTCTCTAATCAAACATGAGAATAGTGTGGAGGGCAGTTGGTCAGACTATGATCAGTGTGACAAAAGCCTCAGGAGTTTGCTTAAACCCACAGATTGTTCCTCGGGTACTTCAGGCGAGGCTTGTGCAGCGTATATGGCGCTAAAAGCGTATGAGGATAGTACAGCTTATCCAAACAGACAAGAGGACGCTAGTTACGCCGGCAGTGATTTCAGTTCTGTAAGCAAAATCAGGACAGGTGCAGACTCTGATCAAAGTGGCAGTAATGTGTACAAATTCAAACACAACATCACTAAACGCTTCTCCCAGGATGAGAAGTACCACCATCCAACAGTGACCAGTGCCACTAGCTCAAGAAGCTGGCAATCGGACGATAGCAGCAAACCAGGCCGAAAAGTGTCGCGTCACGGATCACGCAGCCCAAGCTCAGATGACACCAACTATCCAGCCTCCAGCCACAGCTCATACGGCGCAGACAGAATATGTAAAAAAGGTCTCAAGAAGTCTGAAACAAGTAACACCCCCTTGCCAGCGTTTGTGCTGCACCCAAAGGGAACACATTACATCCCACTGTCAATCCATCCATCACACATTCAGAATATCTTTCCCAAGGAATCGAGTAGAGACAGTTCTGGCTCAAACTTTCCTGCATATCATCCCATCAGTATTCCTGTGAACTTTTCAGGACCCTGTGTTTCGATCAAGAACTTACAACCGCCATGTTCAGCCGACATTGCGGAAACAATAGAGAAAAACGCAGACAGAAACAGTTATACAGTGTTGTAATTCAGTTAATGTACTTTTATGAGTGACTTGATAGAATCTCTAATGCAGTTTCAATGAATTTTCTCATTCCAAAGATATGCAGTAAATCAAATTAATTTGTGGCAAAGTCGTATCTGTTTTTATACAATGTGAATTTGATGGTGATGTAGTGAAGTGTCTCGTTTGAAGGGCTTTCAAAGGTAGTATCTTTATTCCATCAAATTTAATTTCCATTTTCATACAGAAGGGATATGTATAGTTAGCTGTGTACTCATGTTATCCATTGTAATGAATTTGCCCTCAGTGGGCAAAATACCTAATAGGGGGGGTTAAAGTGACAAGGCAGAAATGCTTAAGTGACAAGGATAAAAGGAGGAAATGCTCAAGTTACGGGGGGGGGGGGGGGGGGGGGATTCTGAAGTTAGGAGGGATATGGTAAAGTTAAGAGGGAAGATGCTAAACTTGCAAGGGAAACACTAAAGTTACAAGGATGAAATGTTAAAGCTATGAGGTTGAAATAGCAATGTTGGGAGCTTGAGGCCATTATGCTTAAGAAAGGAAGGCAATATGGAAAAGCTAAGAGGGTGAAATGCTTAACATCTAGGTGGATTCAATCAGTGTTTCCATGCAAATCTTTCTGGGGTTTTTTACTATCCAAAATAATTTATTTCGGACTACATTAATGTAGGGCCTGATCGTATACAACTGGTATCACACTCCATTCTGAATTATTTTTTGTTGTGATGATTTATATGTCATGTAATATTTGCATTGACTATTGGCCAAATATATATAGATGGTGATTATGTTTGTTGCTCCTTGGAAAAGTCTGTTTAGAAGATAGTGGTCGACTCTGACAGTTGCCATGTGATATTGATATTGGCAATCCTGAAATGCCTATCGTCAACCGAGTTCATTAGACAGCATGGATATTAAATACTTGTGTGCATTGTATATGTTAGAAATATAGTTATGATACCAGGTACCGGTATAACCACTTAACTCATTCACCCCTGAAGACACATTTGAACTCCTCCAATTCAAAGGTTGGAATAGTTCATTATGAAACTTCAGGGGTCAATGAGTTAAGGTCAGATCTGTCTAGCATTTTACCACAGTCCCAATTTGTGAGTAATTTTCTTTGGTTTTGAATTTTTCACTCCGACTTCAGCCCGATTGATTTTGTAACTTTTATCATCAATTCAAACATACAAGATTTCTTGCTCCTTTTCACTTTTGTCTCCACTGAACAAGAAACTACCCTGTGGCACCGACATGATAAGCTCATAAAACACACTTGCTTAACCACCATATATGTATACAACAGCATATAGTGCCTTGGCTAAAAGTACTAGTAAATGTAATATAATGATAACTGAAAAATCCTACCCTTTATTAATCCATACTGACTTGTGTCTGAAACTGTGATAGTATTTTGTTGTATAGCCATACTGTATGGACTGCAGTTCTTAATATGATAGCTAATCATTGGTAGATATACATGTCCAGGTTGGTAATTTATTGTGTTTTGTTGAAGGATTTATTAGGAATTACAGATGTTATGTAGCTGTATTAAACTTACTCATTAATTAAACAATATTCCCGTGTTCGCCCTGATTTTGTTGTCTAGGGAGTTGGCCCTCTATTATCCATGTGTTAAGTCAAACAACTAAAACACCCTTGCAGACTAACACCTTCCACCTTTTCTGTAACTTCCTAATAGAAATGACTGACCCAATCATGGGAGAGTTGGGCAGATCTTGTACTGACCTTGCCCTCTCTAGTTGTTGTTATCATTAGTGAGACATGCATGTAAGCTAGGAGAAGAAATAATAAAAAAAGGAGTTCCATTTTTACTTCGGAACGTAAGAATACATTTTGGAAATATTCAAATGCAAGTGGCAAATAATCAAAAGTTAGCTTGATATTTGTTTTAACATTTTTTGTTTTATCACATGTTATTTCATCACATTTAAAGTTATGTGTTGTTTGAAAATAAAACTTTTTTTTTTTACTTCTTCACTAACAATTAGGTTACCTCATGATTTGTAATAACAATTTACTTTGAACTTTTAGAAAGAGAATTTTAACTTTAAGTGGTTCTATGATGGTATCGGATCCCTTAATGATATGTAGTGCCAAAACTCATTCACCATTTTACTGACACACAAGAAAGTTAGTATCTAAACACCCATTAATGGTTGAGCAAAGAGTTGATCATCGCTAGGGGGACTTAACTAGTAAATAGTAAAACTGGTCTTAATATATACTGCAATTTTAGTGAGTGTTTTCTGGCAGTATTTTGATCGCTTGGTTTACTGTGATGTGATTTGAAGCAGCTTGTTAGAATCATCGTTATTGGGAGTTTAACTCTGATTTGCAGATTAATCATTGATCTGAGTTTGGATTCATCTGGTAGGCTATTCTATGGCGATTGTTTGACATTTAAGTGAATATGATTGGACTTTAACCCTTTCAACCCTATGCAACTTTAGTAGACTCTCCCACGCATTGATCTGGATGAGTTCATTATGGTCTACAGTGGTGAAAGGGTTAAGGGGATCTTAACAAGGTTAGGTAGAATTCAGGAAACTTACGCTGTATGGACTTGAATTGATACACAATTTTTTTTGAAATGTATGACAGAAGTCGGTAACTGTTACTGCAGGTAGGTCATATTCTTTCTGTTAAAATCGTGCAGAATGATTCAGAAAAACCCTACTTGATATGGAGAGCTAGTTGTGTTCAGCTATACACAAACTATTGGAATGTTTTATGTAGATGATATTAATTTGGAACAAAAGACATTCATAAGGACTCCTCACCAGAGATGCATGTGCCCTCTAGTTATTACAATGTCTACCTGTCCGTCCGTCCACACAGTTGTGTCCAGGGATCAAGCTAAATCAAAATCCAGAGGTCTTTTTTTCTTTTCTTTTTACATGGTTATATACTGATAGATGTAGACGTGCGAAAGAGACATTTCAAAAGTTTCTATCGTGAAATTCATTTTTACTCAAGTTAGGGTAGGTGGTATGACCAACCAATGTTAATTTGGTAGTGAATGGTATTTTGTAAATATCTACTACCTTACGTGATCATAATTGGTATTTAATGGATAGTCTACCTGGTGAATAGGATGTATTATCCGGATCCTGTATGCCTGCGATGGTTTTTGTTTGACCAAGACCTGTTGGGCTACACCAGCAGAGTAGAAGTTATAACACAAAATGTCAAGGTCAATCACCATTCTTGGTTGCGAATGGTATTTGTTTGATAACATACAATGTAGAGGTTGGGACAGCAATAGCTTGGCCAGGCTCTTGCTGTTCTGTCAGCATTCTTGTTTTTTATCATGTTATTGATATGTTGTTGTTTGTTTGACATACAAATTGTAAGGTTTGTAAATGTTACAGATCAAGATATTTTTGGGGACATTTAATGTTGCATGCCCCAGTTAGGGAATATGTGTTACTGTGCAATGTTATGTACTACTGTTCAAAAATTAAAAAAGATCAAATTATTCTGATTTGTTTTTGTTTATTTGGAAATACTCAGTATCTTTAGCTCACCTTGTAAGGAAGCAGAGTACAGTAGAAATGGCTCAATGACCCTAAAAATAAAGGGCATGTCTCAGATAAACAGGGATAGCGGATTCATTCTGCACAACACACCTACATATATATATATATATTTATAAACTACATTTTGAATACGTTTTTTTTTTCTATTGTAATCGCTTTCCGTCCGTCGTAGTCAGTCGTGCGTAAACTTTTTACATTTTCAACTTCTTCTCAAGAACCAGTGGATGAATTGTTTTCAAACTTGGTCAGAATCATCCTTGGTAGATGAGGCTACAAAATTGTAAAATTGGAATTCCTACCCCAACCCCTGGGGTCAGGGCCAGGCCCCAAAGGGAAAATTAACCAATATTTCAAAAATCTTCTTCTCCAGACTCAGAGGTACTACAGTCATTTGACCTGCATGGAAAGAAAGATCATCAGGGGCTTTACCTAAATTGTAAATTTCAGGACCCCCGAGCTATTCTTTCTCCCTTGGGGAGGGGGTAAAGTTTACTATAGTTTATTTCAGGAAATAACACTTTTGGGTATATTTTGACAACTTTCTGTAGGAAATTATTTTCACTTGGTGAGAATTATCCTTGGAGGAAGATGGTTTCAAATTGTAAAATTGAGATTCCTACCCCAACCCCTGGGGCCAGGGCCAGGCCCCAAAGGGAAATTTTACCAATATTTAAAAAATCTTCTTCTCCAGACTCAGAGGTACTACAGTCATTTGACCTGCATGGAAAGAAAGATCATCAGGGGCTTAACTTAAATTGTAAATTTCAGGACCCCCGAGCTATTCGTTCTCCCTTGGGGAGGGGGTAAAGTTTACTATAGTTTATATAGGGAAATAACACTTTTGGGTTGGTGAAAATTATCCTTGGAGGAAGATGGTTTCAAAGTGTAAATTGAGATTCCTACCCCAACCCTGGGGCCACCAGGGCGGGGCCCCAAACGGAAAATTAACCAATATTTCAAAAATCTTTTTCTCCAGACTCAGAGGTACTACAGTCATTTGACCTGCATGGAAAGAAAGATCATCAGGGGCTTTACTTAAATTGTAAATTTCAGGCCCCCCGAGCTATTCGTTCTCCCTTGGGGAGGGGGTAAAGTTTACTATAGTTTATATAGGGAAATAACACTTTTGGGTATATTTTGACAACTTTCTGTAGGAAATTATTTTCACTTGGTGAGAATTATCCTTGAGGAAGATGGTTTCAAATTGTAAAATTGAAATTCCTACCCCAACCCTAGGGGCCAGGGCGGGGCCGCAAAGGGAAAATTAACCAATATTTCAAAAATTTTCTCCTCCAGACTCAGAGGTACTACATTCATTTTCTCTGCATGCGAAGAAAATCATCAGGGGCTTTATTTAAATTGTAAATTTCAGGACCTCCGAGCTATTCGTTCTCCCTTGGGGAGGGGGTTAAGTTTACTATAGTTTATATAGGGAAATAACACTTTTGGGTATATTTGATCCATTTTCAGCAGAAAATTACTCAAACTTAGTCAGAATCATCTTTGGTGAATGAGAGTATTACTTTGTAAAATTGGGATTCCTGCCCCCTCCCCAGGGGCTAGGGCGGAGCCCAAAAGGGAACATTTACCAATATTTTCAAATTATTATCCTTTGATGACATGAGAAGTATTGTATTTCACTTAATTTACAAGGGTCGGCGAAGTAATACCCGTTTCAAATATGGCGCCGTTNACTTACAAGGGTCGGCGAAGTAATACCCGTTTCAAATATGGCGCCGTTGACGCTTCAGCGAGATAACTATTCGATGACAGCCATTGTTTGGTTCCTTCAACATCTAGAAACATGGACA